GATATCGCTTGTAGCGGCTCGCGCTGCGTGGGACAGGAGAGGGGGAGGGGGACAATAGGGAAGGGCACAACAGGGGCGGGGAGGGGAGGAGGGGGTCACGAAGTACAAACTAATTAGCACGGTAAACTCGGTGCCGCTCGCCGTTCGCACTCCCACGCGCGGGCCAACAGCAGCAAGGGGAGGGGGCAGCTCTTGGCACACCTCACCGGCGGCGGGTTCGGATACACGTGTCCCGCCTGTCCAGCCCCTCGCCGCCACCCACCCCACGCACACGTGGCCCGCCCTGTCCAGGACCCCTCCCTATGGAATAGCCTCACCCTCCAACCCCCCTGCCAGAGCCCCACAGGACGAGGACATTCCATAATGCGCGAGTCCTTAAGTCCCCCGGGAGCAGACCACCAGTGGCGGTGAAGCAGGGAGAGGGGGCTGGGGTAAGGAAAGGGGGTACAGCCAACTGAGAAACTGGGCGCACAACTGGGAGGCCTGTAAAAGGGGAGGGGGGTGAACAATACAAGGCGAGGTTCAGAGAGGGAAAGGGGGGGTAGGGGGTTGAGGGTTGCCACCCCCAACGCGGCAATAAAGAAAGCAGAGTCAGCTGGACGCGGGGACAGGCCGTTGGGGGTTAGGATGAGGGGGGGGGGTGCGGTTTCAACCATACCAACCACGCGGCCAAGAGGGCGACGGTCGCTCACTTCAAGGGGGCAGCGCGGCAGCCGCGTCGGGAAGTATGAGACAACTGGCTGTGCGTCCGTGTATGCGCTTTCACCCTTCATGACATATACCCGCGTGCTTCAGTTTACGGAAATGGGAAAAGGGAGTAGAGTAGTGATGGTGATGGTGGTGGTGGTTCGTCTCTCGGATCCATATACCGTACCGCACGTCCCGACGACTTCCCTCCACCCTCCCTCTGCAGCAGCAGGGCGTGTGGTCCAGTCCGCGGGGTGAGAGCAGCAGCAGGCAGAAGCTGGGGCTGTGCGGCCGGCCCCCCTACCCCCCTGGGGATCGGCCCTAATAGCCAGTGGGGCAGGCGGGCTGACAGCGCGGGATAGTGTTTCAATAACCGTTCAACGACCCACTTCTGCCCTGCAGGAGGGCGGGGGGTAGGAGGAGGGGGCGCATCGGCAGCAGCAGCAGCAGCAGCAGCAGCGGCAGCAGCAGCACGGGTTATCCAGGGTGATCCCTTGTGGGCGACCATCCCCCACAACCCCCACTCACGATACCGCCTCCGCACCATATGCAACCGACTTTTTAAATGTTGTCACCAAACCTCCAACTTCGCCCTGCGACCGCAGCTTAGTTTGAGTATCGGCCACAGTATCCGGCACGGCGGTACTATCCGGAAGTGGAAATGCTAGCTGGCCAAAAAAACCCTCATAACTCCGTCGTTGCCGTCGTCTTCCTGTCCCCTCCCCTCCCCCTCCTTCTTTCCTCCCGTTTCGCCAGCAAGAGCCTTCCGCGTGTGCGGGGATTTGAAAAGCCTTGTTCAGCTGCGACGCCTAGATACCATAGCTACGATATTTGCTTGGAAATTACCACAATGAAAATGTGCTTGTAAAACACACGCGCCGTGCCCGTGCTTACCGCGGCGGGTGGGAGCGGGACGGGGCGACTTTGCGCGGCACCGGGACTCATCAGCCACACCACGACCCCTGCTGAGCAAATTTACTTACCATTATTGTTTCAACAGAGGTCAGCCTCTGTGTGCGCGGCGCCCCCCCCCCCCCCCACTCTAACCCTCCCCTGCCCCCTGCCTCCTTCCAATGGACTGTGTCTGCCTCACCACGCTTTCAATTGGCTCATTTTGGTTCGCAGAGCCTCTCTTGCGCGTCGGTATACAGCAAAGATGGAACTTCTTCTCCTCAACTTCGATTTCCTTTTCTCATGCAAAGAAAAGAAAAGTTGCCATCATTATCTTGTTTACGCACGCAGTGCTGGATGGTGCTTTTGATGGGGGGGTGTTACCTTGCGCGACGTGCTCTCTGATTCGCCCGCCTCGTGGAGCGAGAGAGAAAGAGGGGGAGGGAGGGAGGGAGAGAGAGACGGACAGGGAGCGTTTTTGCGCCGTAGTCTGGCGGTAGGTGGGTGGCACACGGTCGAGCCGAGAGAGGAAAATGGGTCATCCCGGCTCGGCTGGTGCTGGCGCTGGCGCTGCTGGGGGCACGAAAACAAGTCGGGAGCCGTGGTGGCAGCACAGGGACCGGGGCGCGGGGACCCGGGCCAACCCGGCGGACACGGGTGCCGGGCGGGCAGGTCTACCCGGCGTGGGGTTACCTTATCGCAGGAGAGGAGGTGGTGGAGGGAGGTGAGGTGGAGGGGGTTGAGTCGGTGGAAGAGGAAGGCGGAAGAGGAGCGCCAAGGAGGGTGGAGGGAGGGGAGGGTGGAGGTTTCAATCACCGCCCGGCTGGTTGATTGACCTCGTCAGTCTGATAATTTGGTTTGTCTGTGATCCGCCTCTGGCCGGCCCATGTCGCTCTCGCTGCCCCCCTCTGCTGCCATCTGCCCGCTGCCCGCGCGCCCCATCTACCGTCTGCCCTTCCAGCCCTGCCGCGCCCCGCCGCGCCTCGCCCCGCCCGCCACATCCACCGCCCGCCACTAACATCATTTCCCGCCCGAGTTATGCGCCCCCAATCTCCATCCGTCCGCCCCTCCCCCCTCCGTTTCTCTCCCCCGTTTGCCCGATTACAGGGATTACTGGCGAGGGGTTGGGGGTTAGGCGGTTTGGATTCACCCTCGTGACTCGTGACTGACGGACAGCCCCCACGGTCTGCCCCCCCCCTCTCTCTCTCTCTCTCTCTCTCTCTCTCTCTCTCTCTCTCTCTCTCTCTCTCTCTCTCTCCTGACCGCGAGTGTGAACTACCGTGAAAGGGGACCGCTGCGCC